CTTATGTGTAGTTCACAGTTGCTTGTGTAGTTCTTATTGCTCTGTGGTTTTTGCATTCATATGGTTCATATGTCCAGAAAGGATTTTATGTGATTTCAGAATGATGTGTATGATTTTTACATGACAGACCTGATTTGGAGTTTGCAGTTGCAGGTTTGCTTAAACCAGGGTACTCAGAATGACAGAATCTTCAAACTGGTTTACTATGAATGATCAGCATGCTTTCTCTCTCTCTCTCTCTCTCTCCAGAAAATCCATATTCATGTTTATGTATTGCTGTCAACATTGATAGATAGGTTAATAATGTATCTTTGTTTTTATGCCAGAGAGAATTTGTTCAAAGGTGAAATGATGTATGCACACAGATTCAAGGTGGTGGCATGAAATCATTGGAATATGCACACACCTGTGAAATGTTTTACTTGACTTCAACTCAGATATTTTATGAATCATCTCATTTATTTTCCAGTACATTTAAGCAGTTTTAACGTGCAGGCTGTACGCCTTCATCGTATGTGTGTCTAAGATGTTAAAAATACAAACCTTCAATGAAGAAAGCAGGTAGCAGTATTTCTAAAACTGCATCAGTGTTGAGTTTTGTAAATAAAACTACTTTTGTGTGCTTTGTGACTGGCTTGTTCAGGTTTACCAAGAATTCACACCATGACCTTTGCCTTACTTTAAAACAAACAACCAAAAAGTTATTACACTGCACTCCCCTCGAACGAGTCCTGTTTTTTACAATATAGCTGCATATATTGATCTTCACTAATCAGCATGTTTGTTGTAAGACCCTTTATGTTGAAGTTATCAATATTAAAAAGATTTGGGGTTCAGGTACTTTTTTTTTTTCTCTATATGGTAAAGCACCGACTCTGGTCGAGGAGCTATTATAGTTCAGGGCCCAGTCAACTGGATCCTTCAGTATTTGCAGTCAGGTTCACATGACAGCACTACAACAGAGAGAACCTCTTTAACAAAATGGGACTCTGTCTCATCAGGAAATGGTTTAAACCTAAATTAGCAGTACACCTTGTCAGTGTAGTCAAAGCAGCACATCTGCAAAAGTCCTGTTTTGGTTTCTAGCACTCGGTCTCAGTACTGCTGTGTGCTCAGAAGTAGCAGCTCATACAGCACAGGAAATTACACAAGTATATGCTCTGGGTTGCAGTTATGTGACTGAAACACGAGTCGGTACATGGCTCATATATCTTAAATACGGTATATCTGTTAGATGTGCTTGTGAAGGAAAACTGAAAATACAGTATGAAGGCCTTTATTATTCCTCTGCTTTGATTGGTGACTCGGGGTCTAATGCACTGAGGACTATATATTCGCTGGTGGTGTAGTTTACATTGTCAGTGGCTGTTGCAAGAGTGCAGTGAACATCCTAAAACCTAACCCTAATGAGCCTGATGACCACAACAGGGTTTGACCGTATTAGATTTTCATTTGTCTATTCTATTGATTGTCTATCTTTCCTGTAGTCATCTGTTTGCATTTGGTAACATTAACACCATTTTAAATGTACAGTATGTTGGTTGTGCTCTTAAAGGTGTTTGTGAACTGATAGTACACAGATCGAGAATACTGGGCAAGAGAGATTTCACACACTTCTCTCTCAACTGTGTTTTAATAAAATTAAGACATTATACATGTTAATTGGAACTCTAATAACTGTTGGTCATGTTTATCTTTTCCTCAGTATTTGGACTGTGGCTCTGTTGCAACAGCGTTTTATCACACTGAGGAAAAAAAAGGCTCATTTCTAGGTGTTGCTTTTTAATGGGTGACTGACAGATTTTTAATCTAATCCACTAGTTTAGACATGTACAAACTAACAACACGTAAGATGTCTGTCAAAGCAGAAACATGTTAGTTTTGGCAGGATCTTTCAACATAAAACCTCAGGAGACTAAAACAGGGAGAAAAGGTTTATTTCTGGTGTGAAATGTAGCCACACTTTAAGAAAAACTAGCTGGGCTGCTAAAAGAGATCTAGTACAGAATATGGCACAACGGCTCCATTGTTAGAATTTTGTGGAAATCGGTAACAGGAGTTTTTCTAAATGAACACTGAATTGACACATTTTACTGTTACAGTTGTAGCTTTGGACAGATGTGTAACATTTAAATAGCCTCTTTGAGTTAACAGATGTGTCGGTATTTACCTCAAATACATACAGGGTAATACATTTACCTCAAATACATACAGTAAAGGACGGAATTGACGTGGTGCATTTAACACATAATTTGGTTTAACCTAATATTGATGCTTTGTTCAGCACTAACACACTTGAATAGGGAGAAAGTGCTCTGTATTATTTCCAGGTTGGGGCTCATCTGGTTCAAACATTCAGTTAATGGCTGTGGGATTTCTGTTATCTTTACACTGTTCAGCATGATTCATATCGCCATGGCAACCTAAGGTTTTGTGTGGGGCTTGGAGGTCATGTGCATTATTTATTCTATTTGGATCTAACTGAAATGCCCACTCATGTCATGTTGGCATCTGGAGTTCTGTGTAAAGAAAAACAAACAAAAGGAAAAAAACAACAACTTGTAAATAGTTTGTTTAACCTAACGCACTTTACGCTCTACATCATATGTAAACCTACACTCTGTTGTCAGTTTAAAGTAAACTGAGGTGCACCTACTCATGTGTGGGCACATTTATATTATTTTAAGGCTGGAATCAACAGGTCTTATTCTCTGGAGCAGAAATGATAAGCTCAGTGAAAGTCAGCCTCACACATGTTTGAAAAGACAGCGTGCATGGATGAATTCACATTGCGTTATGGTCAGATGGCAAGTTGCCCTGGGTGTAGATCCTTGTGCAGTAAGCCATAATGGCTGTTGTAGATGTCTGCTTTCTGTGTTTACTTTCAGTCAGACTTGAAGACAAGTGCTTGAAATGATTCATGTTTATTTGGAAAGCTGTATGAAGGTCATGATGCGTACCCTGATATTTTGTAATGAGTCTTTATTTGCCCCTGAGTCTGTGCACTGGCGGTGGAGAACTCAAGATTTGCACGAGTCACAGAGCCAACAACAGCATTTATGGGAAATATGTCAGGTTGGAATAAACTGGAATTATCCTTTTAAAGTTGTTTCTAACATTGTCTCAGTCCTATATCAATGAGGGTATATGTCAGGTTTCTTAGACCTTTTTAAACTGTAAAATGTCAATATAGTAAACACAATCAAAATTATGTAGTTAAAATACTGTCCATTGTACAGGCCTGTGCTTTGTGAAGTGTTTTTGTTGAAGCAGCCTTACAAGCCTGGCAAGCAGCCTTTTGTTATTTCTTGTTTTTTTTTTTTTGTTGTTTTTTTTTTTCTTTTCTTCAGATGAATCATATCTTTAGACTCCACGTATCACTTTAGTGGATAAACTGTAGAGCCATTGCAGAGGTTAGCATTTCGTCTGGTTTCCTGGAAGACGCATAAAGGCTTGGATGCCCGGGGAGTTGCATAATGGATGGTGGCATCATGGGCCCATCAGATAGAGGGATTATTGCTGCTGCCCTGCACTGATGGGACCTGAGCCCCTCCAGGCTGCTTGTTAATTACGTTTCCAGTTGTTTGGTATGTAGTTGTTGTGGCCATGGACGCAGCTGCTGCCTTGCTGTGATGTGGCTGGCCCTTCGTAGTCCCTTATGTAAGCAAATTAGCTAAAGGAAAAACAGAGGCAGTGGTCAAAGAAGGGTACAGTGGCTAGAGGATGAAGAGCTTGTTCACTTTGAGTGTGATTTGTGTTTCTGAAGGTAAATGATGAGTTTTTGCAGTTTGAAGGACTGTTTAGGTGAAACTTAATAGCAGCACTTCTCCTGTTTGATGCATCACATTGTGCATGTGCCAGATACAGAGATTGTTTTAATCCCAGCCCTTAGTCTCTCTGCTGTGATACAATAAAGGCCGACTCCATCTGAAAGAATATAATATGCCAAGGTAAAAAAGTGAATAATTCATGTGGACATGTTCAACCCCTCTGGCTGTATGCCCACTGGTAATTGGGACAACACCATTCTCTGTTTTGCTCGATAGCTCTTGTTGCTATGCTACCAAAGGGAAACTTGAGTCGGCCTGGACAGTGTTTGGAATGAAAGTTGAACAGTCATGCAGTCCTCATACCGGACACACACCACCCCCTTCTTTGTATTCTCAGCTAAACGTTTGGGAGAGCAGGAAACAGTTTTATTGTCATGACTCATTCTAATTGTATTCAGTACACATTTAGCCTATGTATGTTTATGCTGTATTTGTGGGTGTAAAAGCAATATTGTGCCTGTTCCATTGACCTCGCTCTTGTAACACATAAGCATGAGCCACTGGGAATGTGTTTACTCTACAGTATTCCTGCAGTGTTCATCAGCCCGAGGACAAACATTTGATGGAATTAAAAACATAATTGGTTTTTTGTTTCTTAAGCTCCCTTTAGTTTTGAGAATCTTAATTGAATTGTTAGCACAAGCTTTGTTAAACACATATTTAAAACAACTCAGAAGGAACGGTCAGGCTGACTTGTATGATTAATTAGCCTCTTGCTCTCTTCTGTAATTCAGAAGAGTGAGAGTAGACTGGAATGTGATGTCCTACTGCTTTATCAGGGCTCCTTCTATCTAGACAGTTGGCTGGGTCACTAATGGGAAGCGATGAAATGGTGAGATCCATTTGGCTTCCACTGAGAAGCCAAATGGATATAGACACTCCCCTTAGGCCAGAGAACTGGGAATACTTAAATTCAGTACTAGACATGGGTTTACACATTAACTGACTCAGCTTTGTCAAAAGAATGAATCATGCAGCAGTGGCAAAGACAAGAATGACTGTACTGAGTAAGAGGCTGGAAGTCGGGGCTTTCTTGGTTGTGTATTGGTGTTCTGTGTCACTAAACAAGGACAGGGACAGATTTGTGCAGAATTTTATGAATAGGCTATCATGTGCAAGTCCACAGATGTAAATGTTAATCTCAGCTCCCACTTTCAAATATACTTTCAGGAGTGAGCCCAGCCTTCCAACATACCTCCCCCTTTCATTGGGCTAAGATGAGTATTACCAGTGATGAAGTGAACTTCTTGGTCTACAGATACCTCCAAGAATCAGGTTTGTCCCACTCACTGATACTGCTAAACACACTCATGCTGTTTTTTTCCCAGAAAATAATTTACAGGCTTGTTAATTTGCTGTTATTTTTTCAGTATTACAGGGTTTTGCCTACTGTGCACATGATATTATACCATTGTGAAATTACCTAGAAAGTAGTTATCGTGCATAATCAATTTCTAAAGACAAAGCGCACATTATGCTACTATTATGCTCACTTTACAGCAAGATACATTTCCCCAGCTTCTACTGCATGGAAATAAACAGGCCATTCTGTAATGTGAACACCATCTAGGTGCACTGATTATATCAGAGTTTGGGAGGATCGGTAATTAAAATCCTAGGTGCTGTGTTTTGTTACTGTTTATTGAAACTGCTTCTGAAGCCATGTGGCACTGGCAGCTCTGAGGGGTCAACACTGACATGGGCATACCTTATTATACTCTCAAATGTCAGACCTGTTACGCCATTTGGGTTTGTGTTCAGTTACTGCTAGCTTTGTTTGGATCAGATAAGACTTTCCATTGAATATTTGTGCTGTGTTTGTGCACATCTTGTGCTTAGTACTTTCCCATTAATGAATGTGAATGGTGTTTTGTTTTCAGGTTTCTCCCACTCAGCATTCACCTTTGGCATTGAGAGCCACATCAGCCAGTCCAACATCAATGGAACACTAGTGCCCCCTGCAGCCCTCATCTCCATCCTGCAGAAAGGGCTTCAGTATGTGGAGGCAGAAATTAGCATCAATGAGGTGAGGCCAGGGACCTGCTCTTTTTGACTCCTGCAGATGTTTTCTGCTGCTTAATGACACAAAGAAAGACTCTGATCTCTAAGACATTTAACTGTGCATGTGTTTCACATTTTTAAATCTTATTTTGGAGGAAAGAAGTGTTTGTAGAGGAAGGTCAGTTAGGTGACACCCTTCCCCCTCTTTAAGTGATTAAGAGACATGACTCCAGACAAGTTGCTAATTAAGAATCGCATTGCTTCATGACATGCTGTTCAATGCTGTTGTCCTGACAGGACGGTACAGTCTTCGATGGTCGACCGATTGAGTCGCTGTCGCTCATTGACGCGGTGATGCCTGATGTGGTGCAGACGCGGCAGCAGGCCTTCCGCGACAAGTTAGCCCAGCAGCAGGCTACCTGTGGCATGGCAGCTTCAACCTCTGGAAACCAGTCTAATGCACCAAAGAATGGAGAAGCCACCGTCAATGGGGAGGAGAATGGCACTCACAACATGAGTAAGTTGAGTCTCTTATGGATGTCCCACTTATGTCACAGCAGGAACTGATACTGGTAAAATGGTAAGAGAGGTACAAATATAGAGATCTACAAGATTTCAGGCTCTTCACTGTAAAGACTCTTAATTTTCTTGACTTACAGCTTCTAAGGAAAGAACCTCCTTATATTTATTTATGTCCTGTCAATTGATTAAAATCACATGATTGTCCATAGTTAATGCGATCACACTTTTTAAAATCAGCTCTAAACAGTGGTGGGAAGTAACTAAGTACATTTACTCAAGTATTGTAGTTAAGTACAATTTTGAGGTATCTGTACTTGAGTATCATTTCTTTTACTTCATACTTTGACTTCACTACCTTTTAGAGGCAGAATGTGAAATGTGCTGTTTTGCATGAGTACTCTTACTTTCAGTACTTTAAGCATGTTTTGATGCTAATACATTTGTACTTAATTAACATTTTGAATGCAGGACTTGTAACAGTAATTTTAAACTGTTATATTGGTACTTTTACTTAAGTAAAGGATCCAAATACTTTTTAAACGGAGCCCTGAGGAAACTGTGACTGAGAGAAGTCCAGTAGTCTCTGGTGAGCACAGCCGTGCACGTCTGTCCCAATGCCGCCTCGACTTTAGCTTTCTTCATACAAGTTCACCTTATTCATGTTTCTGAATACTGTTACATCTGCAGCATTATGAGAATCTGTATGTGGGGCAGGACTAAGAATTTAAGCACATGCATACAGGAATTACTCTGCATTGCGTTTGGGGTCTGTGCTTTCATATGGAGTCAGTCTAGTAATTGGATTTTTACACCTTCCAAATCATCAGTTTTTCTACTTCAGGTGATATGTCAAAATCCTCACTTCTACACACAGAAACAAACTGCTCTGTGCCTCACAGAATGTGAGATCATTAGCAACTGGTTTGCTTCTCCTGTGCACCCTGAGAGGTGTGGATCAGGTGGAGCGCTAGACAAGTGGAACAGGAGTAGATGTTTTTGTCAGTGTATCCCCTAGGAGTTTAATACAGAGGCACGAATGGTAACAGAGTCAGGTGTGAGTAAGGTTTTGCTGTCAGTGGATGCAGGACAGATTTTACAAGGTACAAATTAAATGAAAGCTCAGTGAGCTTTTCATAATTTTAAATGCTGCATAAGTTACTGTGATAGGGTTCTCCTCATACTGGGATAATTGTGTGCATGCCAAGTGGGTCAGTTTCTTCATACTGGGAAAATTAAAATTAGCGCTGGCATATACCAGCAGAAACAAATGATTGGTTTCTTTGATGCTCTCTATCTGTTATTTAAAGGCAGACTCTTCATCTTCCTAAACATGAACAATTAATGATCATTAGAGGTAAATTTATCAGAAGCTTATTTCTACTACTCTTGAGCTTATTGACAAGTGTGGCCATATGTGTGTAATGACGCATATATGAATATGTGCATGCGTCCATCTGTGCACATGCTCGCTCTTCTCAGATAACCACAGTGAACCCATGGAGATGGATGTAGATGTTGAGATACCAGCCAGTAAAGCCACAGTACTCCGAGGCCACGAGTCCGAAGTGTTCATCTGTGCCTGGAACCCTGTCAGCGATCTGCTGGCCTCGGGGTGAGTATCTGTCTGTGCTGAAACAGTTTTAATTCATGCTGGGTGAGTCGTACTACAGCGTACGCATGCTTTGGATTTTATTCTCTAAGATAAATGGCTTCATAGGAATTATTGCTGGCAGCTTATATTCTAGCAATCTTTTGACTCCCCCTTGCTGTGTTGGTATTCTGTTTAGCTCGGGAGATTCCACTGCCAGGATCTGGAACCTGAACGAGAATAATAACTCTAACTCCACCCAGCTGGTGCTGCGCCACTGTATCCGAGAAGGTGGTCAGGATGTCCCCAGCAACAAAGATGTTACCTCACTAGACTGGAATGTAGGTCTCCAGTAATCCATCCACACCTGTCCTCTTCTACTTGCACCATGTGCAGACTGCGCAGCAGAGGATGGTTAAGTAATAGTTTTATCTTTCTAACCAACAGAGCGATGGGACTCTCCTGGCAACAGGCTCATATGACGGATTTGCCAGGATATGGACAAAAGATGGTATATCACTCCAGCATGGTGTTGTTTCCTGAGTCGTTGTGTTTATGCCATTGTTACTGTGAATAATGCAACCTCTGTGATGCTTTTTTTGAAGCGTCTTTTCTAAAAGAAATGGATATGGCTCTTATCCACTAGGAACTCTGGCAAGCACCTTGGGACAGCACAAAGGGCCTATATTTGCACTCAAGTGGAACAAGAAGGGAAACTCTATTCTCAGTGCTGGAGTAGATAAGGTATTTCACAAGGCTCCCCAAGCACATATTGGTGTCTGTAATAATATCCTCATACGTTTATTTCTTTACCAGTACGAGGGCTTGAAATTAACCTTTTAATGGCAGCTGGCAGCCACAGTGTAAATGTGCAACATAAAGTATATACCTGGTGTCCAAAACCGCACTGCATTCAATAAATGTACAGTACAAGCTAAAGAGATGGAGACAGAACACTGAAATTTATTTATGTATTTTTTTTTAATATTTCACTTTGCTGCATCATAACATCATTGCAACATGTAATCAAATCTAATTCAATCATTTTTGTCATTGTATGTACAAACAATGAAATGGTAAATTCAATTTACAAAGGCACACACGACAAGAAAAAAGTATTACAGTGGCTCCTTTAGGTTTTTATTTGTTTTGGTCTTGTTTAGGCCCTTTTTATATATTTGCTTATATATTTGCAGGGTATAGTGGGTGTTAATTTCAAGCCCTGGCAGTCCATCAGAGCACATTTTAAAGAACCTTTTAATGGATCTCATTCTTTATAATTATACCTTGAGAAATATTGCTTAATTTTATTTCCCCAGACGACAATCATTTGGGATGCACACACAGGAGAAGCAAAGCAGCAGTTCCCTTTTCATTCAGGTGAGTTCACTAGGTGTCCAGAGCAATAAAAGCTTAACATTAAATTAAATATAGTAATACTATAGTAGGCTACCTCTGTACTGTTCAACCACTGTATGGGAAACACTGAAGATGTTTCCTACTTGGTTGCAGTTGTATTATGGACTCATAAACCTCCTAACCTTTTAATGAGTGTGGCCCTCATCATTAAAATATCCCACAGCTCCTGCTTTGGATGTCGATTGGCAGAACAACACCACCTTCGCCTCCTGTAGCACAGACATGTGCATCCACGTATGTCGACTTGGCAACGACCGACCCCTCAAGACCTTCCAGGGACACACGGTAAACAGATTTTTCCATGATGCATTTACCTCACACCATACTATGCTGTTTGGACAATCATGCTAACAAGTTCTGTGTTTTGCAGAATGAAGTTAACGCCATTAAGTGGGATCCATCAGGTATGCTGCTTGCATCCTGCTCAGATGACATGACGTTAAAGGTAAGACTAAACCCAAGTCTCAGGTTAGAGTGCAATCCCCAGTGGTGAATTGTCTTCAGTCATATTTTGCTGTTTCCTTCACACACAGATTTGGAGTATGAAGCAGGAGACCTGTGTTCACGACCTCCAGGCTCACAGCAAAGAGATCTACACAATCAAGTGGAGCCCCACAGGCCTGGGCACAAACAACCCCAACTCCAACATCATGCTCGCCAGGTGGGACAGCACTCACATGTAGCTCACACATTGCTCTGTCGTGATAGACATAGGCTTATGTTAAAAAACAAACTGTAAGTATACATTTGTTTATATGTATGTTTGGAAAGAGGACACTGGCATTCAAAAGAAGCTGTGTTCCATGCAAAATTCCAGAGCTAGTGATTGTCAGCAGCCCACAGCTTTACACCCTGACCCAGAACTGCATGCATGAATGCTGAAGGGGGATTTGTTAGGTTTTTCCTCAATATGGTCCTAGACATTACTTTGCAAAGTGTCCTGAGATGACTTTTGTTGTGATTGGGTACTATAAATAAAAAGTTAATGGAACTGAATGTGTAAATGTTCCAGGTTAGTTCAAATACTACAGGAATTTACAACCCAGCCTCCCTGTAACATTGGTGCACAACCAAAATCCTTCTGAAATAAAATAATCTTTGCAAATTCTGGGCCACTGAAAATGAAAATTGTTGATTTGGCTTTGGTTTGAAAGTTATGGCCTCAGCAATACATGAATTACAGCAGGAAAGGCCTCAGAGTTAAATCAGAAATTATAACCAAAACTCTTGCTGCATCAAATGACAGAACCATTTGCTTTTGATACAACAAGCCTCTCAGGTGAGACATTGGGCTGGTACTGTGTCTCAGGCAGTACAAGCCACATTTTATATTTAACTAAGGCACTTATGTTTGTACGTCAGCTCAAGACATGCAGCTCTTTGTTGTAAACATCAGCCAGTGTTCTCAAAGTCAAAGTGTCTTTATCTTTACTTGGCAGTTTTTGCATGTTGGCATAAAACGTAAATGGCTGAATATCTTAACTCTAGCCAGTCAGCTCTTTTAAAAGTCATATTTGAATTAATAACCTATTTTACACACACTTGTACTTGTATCTTTGTGAGGATACTCATTGACATAATGCACTCCTTAGTCCCTTACACCCAACACTTAACCTAATTCTAACCTGAACACTAAAACCAAGTTTCAGAAACATTTTTATTTTACAAAAACAGATGAATAAGAATCCTCACCAGTGTTGTCATATCTGATTCATGCACTCTGTCTTCCCCACACCCACAGTGCCTCATTTGACTCAACAGTGCGACTGTGGGATGTCGAGCGAGGGATTTGTATTCACACGCTGACCAAGCACCAGGAGCCTGTCTACAGTGTGGCTTTCAGCCCTGATGGCAAACATCTGGCCAGTGGCTCTTTTGATAAGTGTGTCCACATTTGGAACACTACAGTGAGTGTTGGACTTGGATTTTTACAGTCACCAACGGCATAGGAGAGAAGATTTATTGGTAGTGGAGTTGGTTATTTATTGGTTTCTCCTGTTGTTTCAGACCGGAGCTTTGGTGCACAGCTACAGGGGCACTGGTGGTATTTTCGAAGTGTGCTGGAACAGCACTGGGGACAAAGTTGGTGCCAGTGCATCAGACGGCTCGGTAAGCCATGGCTATAGTGATGACTCATTTCATACAATGTTTTATACACGTCGACCTCTCATTTCTGTAGCTTGTTGCTTGCAAATAAAATGGTCTGAAAGATAACTAGTACTTTGAAAATGGTAAATAAAAAACGTCTTGTTGATGCCACCATTATCTTCTTTACCCCATAGGTATGTGTCCTTGACCTTCGAAAATAGCCGACTTCAGACTTTGATGAATCCTGCAACATGCAGCAAATTGGCTTCCTCTGACATCAGCAGACACACTCGTTGCTCAAGTGGAGTTGTTCAGGTGGACTGAAATAAAAGGAGTAAAACCAGATCACACCCAGCAGCTTCTGACCAGTGGAGTCCAGTTCACCTTCGTTTGTTGATGTGCATTTTTAATGATACACCTATTTGGAATTTGGTATGGAAGCCAGTTAAGAGATCCCCAAGACTGGACTGAATCCAACTCCCAGCGTGTATCCATGTTTTAAAAGGTGCCTAATGAGGAAGTGCTGTGCACCCTTCAGGCCATTTGTCCAACTGTTATGGGGTTGTGGAAACACAAAGATGTTTTATATTAAAAAAAAAGTGTTAGAGATACATTTGGGTTTGAAAGGCAACACATTATGAAAGAAAGATTTTTAGAAATCCTTTGTGCAAATGTTACTTCATGTCCAAATGAAATAATTGGGAGTGTGAGAAAAGTATTAGACACTGAAGCACTGGTGCTGTCTGTTGACAGGGTGCTTAACTTCTCCTCAGTGGAGAATAGTTTGTTTCAAGATGGACTTTTGGAAGTCAAAATTTAACGCGCCGCTACGAGGTCATTCTTAGTTCATGTTTAACTTAAGGTCAGCAAAAGGAAAACCTGCCAAGAAATAGTTCTGACCTAAAATGACTGGCTCAGTAAACCTAGGAATAGAAAATGTCATTTTGTGGGCATAATGTGAAAAGTGTGGTTTACAAAGAGAATCTTTTTCCCTATTGTGGATGTAAATTTAAAGAATGTAAAGATATGTAAATTAGATGAATACACAGACTTATATACTGTGTATATATGTTTATATACAGTACACATATACAGTACACTTTATTGCCATCCTGTCAGGGCTCATTAATGGCTAGAGCTGTCAAATCTTTACTGATGATGCATTACAAGACTTCTTTTTTTTTTTTTTTTTAAATGAAGTGCATGTCATCAGCTTCTTTAAAATCAACCTGTCATGTCTAATGGTTTTTTTTATTTTTTTTTTAATTCCCAATGAGTCACAAATGGCATCAAGACACTCTGAGTATCTTTGCTCTCCTATATTGATCACTGAAAGGCATGGAAGAAACGTGCACCTCATTACCTGCATTCTGGGAATTACCTGGTCAACAGTACGAGAGAGAACAATCATCCTAGTCTCTGCCTGGAAGCTACCTGTGCACACCTGAGCAAGGAAAGCTACTGCAGCTTGATTAGCATTACCAGGAGTTTCTTTGGCACTTTCCTCCGATCAGTCTGCTGAAAATCCAGAGCACATCTTGATGGTGGTCAAGTAAAAGGAAGCAGTAATTGGTCTTGTTCAGCCCCACCGAATGCTGCCTGCTGATTAGACTGTCTGCTTCTCTCTGTTTACTGGGATCTCATTTAAAAGTAAGTACATAAAAACTAACATGCTGTCATTTTGATTAGTCTTTTTTTCGGTCCATTTCCCTATTAGCTAAATTCAAATACAGCAACATGAAGTGCACTTTCTGTAACAATGGGTTCAGCTAATGTTCAGATTTTGCTGAAAGTGAAGGGCCAATTTGTGTCTTCTTTTTTAAAGTCACAACTGGATGTAAATGGGCGGTGGTGTTTTTTTATTTTTTTTTTAAACATTTTCATTTGCTGAGAGCCATTACTGTCTGTGTCAGACTGACAATGGCCGATGGATTAGTGGCCATTCCTGGTATACTTAGGAGCCCAGTATGGAGTAAGTGCTGTGACAGCTACTTTCAATCTTGTACCCTGGTCCAGGGTCATCTATTACCAAGACACAACGTTGAAGTAATTCAGTGTCTCAAATAAATCACTCTATTTTGATATCAGAAAACATGGAGCCTGTGTCTTGAATTAAGTGTTTATCTTAGCTTGGGAGGATTTAGTCTGAAATTGAGGTTTAAAAAACAGTGTTACCATACATTCCTATGCGACCAAGGAAAAGACATTATGGAAGTGTCAACAACAAAACTAAAATCTTTTAAATATTTTATGTTGTATAAAATAGGTGCAAAAATACAAGATAGTTGGAAATACATTAACTTAAAGACTAATTAGGTCATTACGTTGCTGTGCCTTTAGAGCTTAACAGCAGAGAGTGTGTGACAAAACCAGTGTACATCCAATTCAGATAATTTGCCAGGAGAAATGTTTCTTCTAGCACGACTGAGTCATTAGTAAGATGTCATGTTTGTTCTGCTGACTGACAAGAGAGAGCCCAGACAGTCGCTTTGGGGCTCTTCAGCTGAAGAGTTGATGGGTCTGTAATGTAACATCACTACACTGTTCTGCAGCCAAATTTAAAAAGGTTACAGGAAAGGCTTAGAGTTCAGGAGCAGACTAACTCTGCCATACCCACTAAATCTTGTGACTGCTTATTATCTGAGAATGTCAACAGGGCACTAAGAGGAGACGTAACTAAAACAACCATGTTACACAGCAGACGCAGAGGAAACCGGGTTGTTGACGACCCCAGGCCAGTGCCTCACAGAGTTCTCCAAGGATTCTCCATCAGCGTCTACATCGTCATAGTCTCGTAGCTCACTGGAAATGTGGATTTCAATTGTACTAGACTCTGAACCTAGCAAGACAAAATACTGGGCGTTATTACACACGACCCCTTGACAAACAGCTGATCAAACTGTATATCCACTGAGATACTCCTATTCCTATATGTGCACCACAGATGTATTTTGGAATTTTAACAGTATGTAACCTAGAAATGCAGTCTGGACATACTGTATTTATTTTACAATTTATATGGTTTTGATCTATACTTGAATTTGATGAAAAATAAACTGAGGGCTAAATGAATGGAAAAGAAATCCTTTAAAATATTAACTTTGTTTCTAAAGTCATTTCAGAGACACTGAATGGTGACACAAAACACAGAATAGCCTTTGTGCATGATCCACATGGTAGAAAATCTTTACAAAATCATCCAAAAATCCATTTAATGAAAATTGTCATTAGTGTTTCTAGAGTGATAAATATTTTTGTTGGGAAATTGCACATCAGTGTTACACACTAGCAGGTTAATAAAGTACACCTAGCTAAAGCTAATGCAGTTTAATACAACAGTTCTGCACTCCTACCTTGAAGGTAGACTAAATGTATACGTAACTAAATCAATGCAAGAGCACATAACTGACTATAAAGTTCAATTTCTCTATACCAGTTTTAACAAAAACTCAAACATTATAACCTTTGTAGGATTGTTGTATTAGGCTACTTTAGTTTTAGCTAAGGTAAAACCCATTGCTCTCTGCGTAGTGTTTTCCACATACCCAGTAAGATAAAAAAGACAACTCTGTAATTTGGCACCTTTAACAGGTCAGGATTTGCTCTCATTACAAAGTTGCGGATTGGATGATCACATGCACAACGTGGCCATCACTGTTTTCATCAGTTCCTTATTAACAAAAACTGGATCTTTCTTTGCAGTATCAGTACAGTTTTATGCTACTGTACTAGTCAATACACCACAGACCACAACAGACAATTCTATTGTGTTACTTAATGCTCCAACTGTTATTACCGCACCCAGCAGCAGTCAGCTACAAGAGTGGTTTAAAAAGTATTAGGAATTTATCACAGAGCTTTAACCTTGTCCTGCACAACGGATCCAAATCTGTACCAGTGAAACTCATTTATTCATAACGATAAAAAAACCTTCTCTACTAACAAACATTTGTCATCAGACGGGGAGGACATTCCTTATGCCAACAAAAAGAACAAAAAATTTAAGAAGAGGCAGTCAGTCCAGAAGCAGCATCAGGAGACACTATGTGACGAGTAGTGTGTCTGCTTCACCAGCCCTGATATACAGGTGAGCTGTTAGTGCCAGTGAAACCCCAGTTACCTTCTGAGAGGACGCTGACAGCGTCAGAGTGGTGCTGTCCATTGCCCAGCAGGTTTTTCTTGGCTTCCTGGATGCGACTCTGGTAGAGCAAAGTAGTTCCTACTACGGGGTCATGGCTGGTTGTGTTAGGCGCCGAAGTAGAAGCCGAGTCACAGGCCAGCTCCCTCCTCTGCTGCACGCTGAGACCAACATCGAAGCCTGTCCAGCCATGAAAGGCTATGGTGTTGAGGAAAGCCTGCATGGGGTTCAGAATACTCTAAAGAATGAAAACACAGAACAATTTAAAATTTAAGGTGTTACACACTGATAAACACTGCTAGAAGACGTACTCAGATTGTTTACTTAAGTGGAAGCAACAATACCACGGTGTAAAAATACTCAGTTACAAGTAAAAGTCCTGCATTCAAAATGTTACTTGAGTAGTACAAAAGTATCAGCATCAAAACATACTTAAAGTACCAAAATTAAAAACAGTCGTCATGCAGAATAGCATTTTTCACTTTAATATACAGTATATTAAATATTGGATTATAATTACTGATACATTACTGTGTACATCCCATTTAATGTTGCAGCTGGTAAAAGAGGAGCTCATTTTAACTACCGTATATGCTTATAATTTGAAGTACTGCTGGATATTCTGTAAATTTCCCACCAGGAATTAATAAAGTCAGATCAGAATCAGAATTGTAGTATGTAAAAGTATGTTTGAACATAAAGGAATGTGACTCCGTTACAGAGGCTCTAAATGTGTTGTAAGGCGACAGGAATAGAAAATAATGACAATAAAAATAAAAAACAGAGCAGTAACAATGAGAATAAACTGTGTGTACATTATATTGTATTTGGTATAGGTAATTCGATTAATCTGATTGTGAAATGTAAATTTGAAGTAGCAGAAAATGAAAATACTCAAGTACAGATGCCTCATAATTGTACTTATGTAGAGACCTGAGTAAATGTACTTAGTTTCTTTCCTCCACTGCTGCTAAACTACTGTCCTTTATCCAGTTAACCCACCATGATAAACCATGTGATGAGGGCTGCATTTCTGATATTCCTGAAACTGTTGTCGTTGATGTCTGTCTGCATCTCCAGGTAGAAGAGGAGACTCTCATTGATGATGTTGGGAACCCAGCTGGGGGAAAAAAAAAGAAATCAGAGAAAAAATATTATGCCTTATAGGATTTAACATGACTCTGAATGAGACTTTAACATTTGACTTAAATCTATATCTGTCAAAAACACATTCTCTTAATCATATGGATAAGCAGCTGGTATCCAGCTCTAATTATGCTGAAATAGCCATGAAAATCAATAGCTAATTAGTTTGACCTCTGGTGAAGATTAGCACATAAATACTGTATTTGGACAGTCGCATTTTTT